AGTTCCTGTTGCAAAAACTTGGTTGCAGGCTCGGTCGCAGGCTCGGTCGTAGGCTCGGGCAGGCTCGGCAACCAGCTCGGTGCAACTCGGGTACCAACTCGGTTGCAGTCTCGATTGCAGGCTCGGTTGTAATCTCGTTCTCGGCAGAATCAGGGATCCAGGCTCGGTTGCAGGCTCGGTTGCAGGCTCGGTTGCAGGCTCGGTTGTAATCTCGTCCTCGGCAGAATCAAGGATCTCGGCTTGAAGGCTCGGTTGATGGCTTGGTTGCAGGCTCGGCTTTCGACTCCGTTGTGAACTCGGTTCTAAACTCGGGTGCAGGCTCGCCTTCAGGCGCGGTTGCAACCCCGACTGCAGGGTGCAGGCTCGGTTGCAGGCCCGACTGCAGAGAGTCGGTTGCAAGCTCGATTGCAGGCTCGGCTGCAGGCCGGGGGTCTCGAGGTCGGCTTAGGGCGGAGGGGGGTCCCTACCTGGCAGACAGTGAGCTCGGCTTCGGTTCAAGATTCGCTGTCAGGCGCCGTGCGAGCTCAGTCTTGAATCGATTCAAGGCGCCGCCAGTTTCAGGATACGCCACAGACTCGATTCAAGGCTTCGCTGTCAAGCTCGGCTTCGGGTTCGGATCGCTACTGGTTGCCGCGCGCCTCTGATAGCCGCCGTACTGTCCCGATCCGGACGCCTCAGGCTCAGCCCCGGCAGCGAACATACACGTTTTCGAAGAGAAATCCGTACGACGGACGACGGCTAGACGCGCCAGATACGCACTACATCGCACGCGGACGTTCTCTCCTTCCTTAGCTATATACTACTAGATAGATACTAGAAAACGTTATCCCTCAACCTCTCCAAGTCAGAAGCCACGCCCATTCGCGCGGTGTGCTGCGCGAATTAATGCTGACGTCATCAGAAATGAACACAACAATTTTGTTTTCTTACGCAAATTCTTAATCCCACTCAGTGACACAACAACTCCCATCCATCTCCTTGTTTTCTTCCATTAAACAGCCGCCCCCATTCAATTCAATTCAATTCAATTCAATTCCGATTTTCATCTTACTCGATTGCAATCCGAAGGCGTTAGTTAGCTAACTTAAAGACAAGATTATTTAAGATTGCTGACAACATTATTTCAAAAATAATTTGCTCGTTCGTTGAATCCAATCCGAATCCAAGACCATCATTACTTGATCTGCACCATTTCATTTCCCAACTGCGCTAATCCAACTGGCAATGATTTGACAGAATTCAATTCCCGCCAACTGCCCTAGTCCTCATCTCGTCTTCCCGCCAAATTTCCTATTCCCCGTCAATTTCATGAAATTTCGACGTCGACCCCCAGTTCACTTACCTATCAAGACGAGAACCGGAAGGGGAAAATTGGCGGGAAGGCGAGATGAGGGGTTAAAGACGAGAACCGGTTTGGGGCATCAAAAACAGCTGAACGGACCCAAAAAAAAAAAAAAAAAAAGAACTCGCAAGAACTACATGCTCTCCATCGTTCAGAGTATGTCCTCCGTCAGATCTACAGCTCTTCCGAGCTCTTTTTCCCGATTTTGAGTTCAACAAATTCACTGCAAACACTTCAATTCTTTTGTTGAAAATTGACTTAAAAGAGTATCAACTGAGCCGACTTCAGACTTCAGCACTTCGTTTCTGTGCAATTTTGCAAGTGGCGGAGGAGGGGGAAGGAGGAGGGGGAAGGAGGAGGGGGAAGGAGGAGAGGGAAGGGGAAGGAGGAGGGGAAGGAGGAGAGGGAAGGGGAAGGAGGGGAAGGAGGAGAGGGAAGAGAAGGACGAAATAGAACACAGAGGACTCCGAGTTCAACACTTGGTTTCCGTACAATTCCGAATGTGGTGTAGGCGGAGGGGTTCCGTACAATTTTAAACGTGGTGTAGGAGGAAGAGGAGGAGGAGGAGAAGGGAGGTGGTGGTAAAAGAGGGGCCTTCCGAGTTCAACACTTCGTTTTCTGTGCAATTTTGGACGTGGCGGAGGAGGGAAAAAGAAAGGGGAAGGTGGGGGAGGGAGATTACGCGGAGACGAACGCACAGTCCGAGGAAGGTAGAATGAGGGATGGGGAGAAGTGGCCGTGAGGATGCTGAACGACGGGAAGGAGAATAAGGAGTCAGGAATAAGCAAACAGGTTTCGTCGCTGACCAATAATTACAACAATTCTCATTTCACCAGCTCAGGATATAGCCTTTGATAGCTTTTATAAACAATATAATATAAAGAACCATTATCACCTTGCCCTTATGCTTACATTTGCATCAGCATCTTCCGTCGATCGTTGGACGTGATACTCTCCTTGCCCGTCGGCGGATCCATCCCGCTTCTCGCCAACTCTTCACTTTTCGTGCGCTCTCTCTCTCTCTCTCTCTCTCTCTCTCTCTCTCTCTCTCTCTCTCTCTCTCTCTCTGTGTCTGTGTGTGTGTGTGTGTGTGTGTATGTGTGTGCGAGCGTCGATCGACCACAACCGTAACCCGCCAGCAGTTTTGACAAGTGTCTTAGATTCAGGAAAATTCAGGAAAGAAGAGATTTGTCACGACACGTCCAACTCAAAGCACGGGTTCCACAACTTGCCAAACTGAGAAAGATGATAGGGCACGAAGTCGAAGCAGCTACACTTCCACCAAATTCACAGCCACGTTGCTCATCTCGCGAAGTGCCGGCCTTCCGAGACAAGGGCATGACTTCCGCCCGACCGCCTCTCGCAGTCCAGCTCCCACAAAATCACTCCCTTCCGGTCCTCTTCACGCCTGCCACAACCACAACTCACTTCAGTTCCCCCCCCCCCCCTCTCTCTCTCTCTCTCTCTCNTCTCTCTCTCTCTCTCTCTCTCTCTCTCTCTCTCTCTCTCTCTCTCTCTCTCTCTCTCTCTCTCTCTCGCTCGCTCGCTCGCTCGCTCGCTCGTTTGTACCGAAGAAGATATACAGTAATAACCGGGAACCTCAGCGACTCCTACACACCGAACGGACTCGGTGAAAAGCGTCGTGGCAGCCAACGCCTTCGCTTCATTGATTAGCAGCAGAGACGTTGAGAGAGAGAGAGAGGAGGAGAGGCAAGCTCGAGAGATTAGAGGAGCTGTAGGTAGGTGGAGGAGGAAACCAACCAACAACACCGTGGATGCTTGATGTCTGGCATCAACGGCTACACGCCATCGCTGATTTGACGTGTTCTGGCAAAAGAAGAGTGCGTGCGGTGCACGAAGAACCAAGGGTCACGACGAGACAGACACACAGAGGACACAAAGAACGGCATCCCTGCTCGACACGTGGCAGATCTCATCTTCCTCACTCTTGCTCGTAGCCTGCCCGCCACGTGGCGGATCTCGTAGTCTCCCTCAGTTGGTCCTCTTCTTCGCAATCGGCTTCTCCCGCGCGAGCAACAGACTTTCGAAACCTCGGGCGCAGAAGAACCAAAGCCCCGACGACCGCGCGTCAATCAGCGCGCGCGGAAACAAACGTTTAATCACAACGACAACCCTGCTGCGGTGTAAAGCGAGTCTCCGCAATGACACGCCGAGCACCAGAGGCAAAGAGCGAGAGAGAGAAAGAGACACGGGGATGGAGGGGGGAGAGAGACACAGAGAAAGAGAGAGAGAGAGAGAGAGAGAGAGAGAGAGAGAGAGAGAGAGAGAGAGAGAGAGAGAGGAAGGCAAAGAGATGGACGCACGTGCACAGAAACACAGAATGGCTATGGAATCCGTTTGCGTTCGTCGTCGTGGCCCTCAGCAGATGCGCAGCAAGAACCAAGGATCGGGAAAGAAGGAAACTAGGGGAGAAAAGGTGCAGCGCGCGTGGAGAGAGAGATTAGACACAGCATTCGTGCCGCATTCGCGGAAGATCAGCGAAGCCACAGGCCTACTACACACACACGGACACACCTACGCCCGCCTAACCCGCCCTCCTCCCCTGAGTCACTTGTCCCTCCTCAAAGCACCCGCATGGTAAAACAACGCCGCCTCTTCTCAACCAGCAGACCTACCGTGGCTTGTCCGCTCGCCCCGCTCGCCCCGCCCCCCACGCCTCGTCGCGCCTCCTATACACGCCCCGCGCTACCACCTGTAACTCTATTCTTGTTGTTGGTGTGCTGCTGAGTCTGCGCCGTCGTCTTCCGTCCCGCCTCTCCGAAATTGCGCGAGAATTGCGAGACAGGACGCGCCCCGCCCCCCGCGCACTGTCACCTCGCCACCTGAGAACCGCCAAAAGGACCAAAACGAGCACGAGCCCCGCGATCGGTAGCCGCGACGCGATGGACGAGCGCTTACCGCCCAACGGCCAGCGATCGCCGGTCGGTCACAACAGTGGAGCCAGACGGCAGGACGGCGGGGCGGGGGCGGGGGCGGGGGCGGGGGCGGGGGGCTGAGCTGCGGAGGGCGGCAACATGGCGGAGGGGCGGAGGGGCGGACGCGCGCGACGCCCGAAGGAAAGGGTGCGGACCGCCTTCCCCCCTCAGCCACGTGTCCAACTAGCGGTAGTGTCCGCCACGCCTGTCCCACCACCGCGCCGCTTCGTCGCACCCGTCCCGCCAACTTGTCCCCCCCTCCCCCCGCCAGTCACCGCTCGTAGCCCAAGGATCGCCTTCGCCCCAGTGCTGTCCGCAGAGCCTTGCACTGCAACCCCGCACATTCCATGAAGGTATCTGACCACAACTGCAGACGTTGCTAAATGCATCTGGGGGTGATTACGTCCAGATATCAGTCATAAAGTGAAGTGCGCCCAATCTTCTCCCCTGAGAACCCGTGTGCCCACAGCACACTGTAGCCTGCCCCTCAAAACTATGCCAGCCATGCTCCGCCGGGCAGGACTGCACGGCATTGCGGTGGTCGCAACCTCATCCCCTTGCGCACCCTCGCGCCGCCGTGTCCGCCCTACCTGTCCGCCCCGCCAAACGCCTCCCCTCGGCCGGATCTGCGCCCGCGCGTGCGCGGTGTGCTTAGCCCCTTGGTCATTAGCTGACCTGGTGCCCTACGGCAGTGATTCTGCGAAATGAAATCTGACGGTCTCCATTTTAGTTGACTTCAACGTCTGAGCATGACTGTCCGATCGTTCTTCCCACCTGCGCAGAGGAAGTCGGGGTTAGTTACCGTACCAATCATAGGTCGTCCCCGCCATCCACCTCAATCGCCTTTTCCCCTAACAAACAGGAAAGGACAAAAAAGCGGACTGGTGATCCAAACCGGGGTCTCGCTTGCACTGCTCGGACAGCCCTGCTCTGCGAGCCGGCCACCGGAGTCGGGGACGGCAAGGACCGCCCCCCGCCTTACTCTCCAAATGTCTCACGGTATCTTAGCTACGACGTAGAAAGATACACGCCATTTCTTTTGTCTTTTTCACGAGTGCGGAGGGGTGTGGAGGCAGGTCGCGCAAGGATCAACCCTAATGGCCTGGGTGCACCAGCAAATGCAAATCTGGCCATATACACGACGGACACAGCCTCAGGGCCCCAGATCCACCCCCAACCTTTTAGAGAGACTGAGAGAGAAGAGTTTGCAGCCCGTCAGGGGTGCGTTTTCCCCCCGAGACATTTCCTTCGTCCTTCGTTATACCGGCCGTTGATTCAGGCTCCTTTGGTCATTGGAAGGTTCGAAAAATGCAGGCAGGTGCCGGCACGACACTTTGGGGGCTGGTGGCAGTTTCCTTGAAAAATGCAGGACCGGTAGCTGCGCGTGGGACCGCGCGCCAGGTTTTGGTCAAAAACGGTGGCAAAGTAGTGGCAGGG